TCAATCAAGTTCTATTTTCTTTTAAATTATTTTATATTATTATTTTTAAAAATAAATTATTACAGTATAACTATAATATTGGTTTATACGGAATGTGTTGTAAATTGGAAGTAAATCACGTTTCCTGTGTATCTCTCTTGCAAAAAAACCACAAGCAATTGTATGCATTCCTCTGTCTGAATTATCAACTATTAGTAGCTAGCTAGTTGTATATATCTCGAGTAGAGAAGCTTCAGTTGTGGTGTTTCTTTAATGGAGGAGCCAAATGGATTTGCAACAATAAATGACATGGAAGAAGAAAGAGAGTCGACAGATATCAATTACTCGAGAAACCGAACATTATCCTCCACTTCTGTAGCCCTAGAGGGAGCTAAGGTCTCCCACATCGAAAGTTTGGATTATGAGTAAGAACAATCACTCATACTGAACCTTATCTGTTTTGGCAGAGATAATGAAATAGATTTGTTGTATTTACATGTCATTATGTGTCTCTGATTTAGGATCAATGAAAATGATCTCTTCAAGCATGATTGGAGAAAAAGATCAAGAGTTCAAACATTACAGTATGTCTTCATCAAATGGACACTCGCATTCCTGGTCGGCCTTTTTACCGGAGGTGTCGCCACCCTCATCAGTCTCTCAATCGAAAATATCTCTGGTTACAAACTCCGCGCTACTGTCAACTATATTGATGACAAAAGGTTAATAAGTAGTAAAATTTATTTCTCGTCTCGTTTGTTCTAATGACTTACAATTATGATAGTCTGACTTAATTAAAACAATTATGTAGGTACTTTATGGGATTTGCATTTTTTGCGGGTGCTAACTTTCTGTTGACATTGCTAGCTGCCTTTATCACTGTTTATTTTGCACCTACGGCTGCCGGGCCTGGAGTTCCAGAAATTAAAGCCTATCTCAATGGGGTAGACACTCCCAATATGTTCGGGGCAACTACACTCTTTGTTAAGGTTAATGCTGATTTTTATCAACAGTGTTCTCATTTACCCTCTAGCATGACTTGAGACCACAACTTATCCAAAAAATGGAGGAGGTTTTTAAACTACTTGAACAAGCCCTACTTTTTTTATTAATGCTGGGCATATAAAATGTTCCAATTATCTGATTTCTATTAAACAATGTTGAATCTTTTCAACTTCACCAGATCATTGGAAGCATTGGTGCAGTTTCAGCTGGGTTAGATCTTGGGAAAGAAGAACCACTGATTCACATTGGCAGTTGCATTGCTTCTTTATTAGGTCAAGGTGGATCAGACAGTTACAAACTTAGTTGGCATTGGCTCCGTTACTTCAACAATGATAGGGACAAGCGAGATCTCATCACATATGGCTCATCATCAGGTGTTTGTGCTGCTTTCCGTGCTCCAGTAGCTGGTGTTCTATTCGCATTAGAGGAAGTGGCAACATGGTGGAGAAGCGCCCTCATTTGGAGAACTTTCTTTAGCACTGCTGTTGTTGTGGTAGTATTAAGGATCTTCATGGATTACTGCAAATCTGGTAGCTGTGGACTTTTTGGAAGAGGGGGACTTATTATGTTTGATGTGAGTGATGTAATTGTGAGGTACCATATTGTGGACATCATTCCTGTTGTAATTATTGGAGTCATTGGTGGTCTCCTTGGGAGCCTCTACAATCATGTCCTCCACAAGGTTCTCAGGCTCTATAATCTCGTTAACGAGTAAGCTCTCTCGATTGAGTTTTTAAATCCTCCATATTCTCAAGTTAACATGTGTTAGCTCTGTTCTCAAAAGTTAAACCATTTGATACAAATTGTACCTTTTTGAACTCTAAATATGACCGCTGTAAGATTGATACTTCTGTTATCTTGCAGGAAGGGAAAATTACATAAGTTGCTTCTTGCTCTAAGTGTTTCCCTCTTCACCTCCATTTGCATATATGGACTTCCTTTTCTTGCCAAATGCAAGCCTTGTGATTCATCTCTATCAGATTCTTGTCCTGGCACTGGAGAGACAGAAAACTTCAAACAATTCAACTGCCCAAATGGTTATTACAATGATCTTGCCACTCTTCTCCTTGCAACAAAGGAGGACGCTATCAGAAAAATTTTCTCTCTGAACACAGGCACTGAATTTCAAGTCATATCACTTCTTATCTTCTTTTTGTTGTATTGCATCTTGGGAGTTATTACTTTTGGGATTGCTGTGCCATCTGGTCTCTATATCCCAATCATCCTCATGGGTTCAGGTTATGGTCGCTTGCTTGGCATTGCCATGAGACCTTATACAAAAATTGATCAGGAGTTGTTTGCTGTTCTTGGAGCAGCTTCCCTTATGGCTGGTTCAATGAGAATGACAGTTACTGTTTGTGTCATATTTCTTGAGCTGACAAACAATCTACTTCTTCTGCCGATAACAATGCTTGTCCTTCTAATTGCTAAAATTGTTGCAGACTGCTTCAACCCAAGTATCTATGAAATGGTTTTGGAACTAAAAGGTCTACCTTTCTTGGAAGCACATCCAGAGGCATGGATGAGGAATATCATAGTTGGTGAGCTTTCTGATGTAAAGTCACCAGTAGTTACTCTTGAGGGAATTGAGAAAGTGAGACGAATCGTAGAGGTTCTAAAGTACACCACTCACAATGGATTCCCTGTTGTAGATGGTGTGATACCCGAGTTACATGGACTTGTCTTAAGAACTCACCTTCTTTTGGTGCTCAAGAAGAAGTGGTTCTTGAATGAGAGAAGGAGAACAGAAAATTGGGAAGTAGAGGAGAAATTCACATGGATTGATCTAGCAGAAAGGTGGGGGAAAATTGAAGATATTGCAGTTACAAAGGATGAAATGGAAATGTATGTTGATTTGCATCCTTTGATCAACACAACCCCTCATACAGTGGTGGAAAGCTTGTCAGTAGCAAAGGCAATGGTGGCTTTCAGGCAGGTCGGGCTTCGCCACATGATCATCGTGCCCAAATACCAAGCAGCAGGGGTGAGTTTATAAGATACTTCACAACAACTATGCCTCAGTTCCAAACAAGTTGGTAGTAATAGAGCTTGTTACCTTTATTTTGCAACACAAATAGTATAACTAATTTGTGTACTTCTCTTGTAGGTATTTCCAGTGGTTGGAATCTTGACCAGACAAGACCTAAGGGCCTGCAACATTTTGAATGTCATCCCCCATCTGGCAAAGTCTAAGAGTATCAAAAAGGGGAACTAAACTTTTCAATTGTGAAAATATGCTTGTCATTCTTTTATAGATTTGCTTCCAATCGTCTCTTCTTTTCTTCCATTATTTTAGGAAGAGATACAGCAGAAGTAAACGAAAGGAAGCCTAAATTTCATCATGTAAATAAGTCGAAAAATAATCAATTATATTTGACATTGTTCTCCCGGGAAGAAATGAATGAATGAACGACATTATTCAAACTCTTCATAAAATTTGAAGTAAAAGAATTACAATACATCAAATGAACAACTTATTGACAAAATTAACATAGTGTTCCACTCCATATAATTAAATACCAGCTACTCTGCCTCATCAAGTGCAAAACATTGAATCAATAAAGCAAAAATGTGTCTTATAAGAGGAACACTAGAGCCATTTGTACAGTCAAAATTGCAACAATGAAAGTGAAAAATGCGGTAGAAAAACAATGAGAAGCTGCAGAAGAAGAGCGAGGCGTGGAAGAATCTTCCTGATTAGAAGGTGCACTTCCAGTAACAGTTTTAATCTTAAGCTTCATTCCCTGGTCACAATGACCTGCTGTTCCACAAGCAAAGTATCTAGTCCCTGGCTTGTTTAGTTTAACCACATCATTACCCGCACTCATCGAGTTCACTGTACTGCTTATATCACAACTCTTGTATGAGCTATCACCCTCAAGTTCTACAACACTGTGAAGGCCTGGATTGTACCTAAATACTGCCAAAAAACAAGATAGTGAAATCTTAGAAATTTTACTAGATGTGACAAAATTAATCCATTTTAGCTAACTCGACCAACACGCCCATGTTTAAATGGATTGGGCTGAATAGATATAACCCGATTCGGTCAAAATACAACCCAACTCTGACATAAAAACCGTTTGACAACTTTGATTCTACCAATTTTTGGTTGAAGGAGAGAAAAGAAATAAATAAATAACAAACCTAGTGTATCACCAACTTTGAATGTCTGACCAGAAGCCCAGGATTTGAAATCAGCAGATTCATCCCATCCTTGGCTTCCACCAACAACGTGTTGAGCGGCCATTGCATTTTTCTGGATCATTACCATCACAATGACAGATATCAACAAAGATTTGCGTACTAGCACCATTTTGGTAACAAACTGATAATTTTGCCTAACAAATATTAGTAGATACGTACTAGCTAGTTCTTTTTTAAGATAAACCTGACCTTCAATGCTTAGGAAACCAGGAGAAGTTTTGGTATATATATATACAGTTCAAAAGCTGTACACATATGATTGCCATCTTATTAATTTGGTACTTGGTACCAAAAAATCTTGGATCTCAAGACTGTATTTTTTGTAATAAATCTACTGGACATGAGTATGAGTAAATAATTGGTGGTTGGTCCATTGATTTTTGGGTGACTTGGGTTTTAATCTAAGTTACTCTTTTGAATTATTTTTCAGTTAGGTGCAATTGGTTTCCAATAATAGATGAAAATAGAATTTTGCCAACAAAAGTTTAATTAGATTTAGTAGGTGATTGAAATTAAGACTTGCATTTTACGCCAATGCAAGACCCTTTTCAAATCAGAATACTATTGAAGAATATGATAAGAATGTTGTTAGGAGTTAAGTAGTAGTTAGTTATTTTGTTATCCGGCTGTCAATATCTTATTGGTTATTAGCTAGTTAGTTACATTTTACATTTTCTGTTTTAGTTAGTTACAAAGGAGTTGTATAAGTACATTGAAGCTCTGTAAAATTGATATACAATTTTTCCATCTTTCTCATTCTTCAATGAACGATTTTGTCAAATACCACATATTGCCTTAAGCGTGAAGTGGAGATAGAAAAAAGAAGATATATTAAAAATTCTCATAACTCGGCAAAGTGACCTAGTACAATATAAAAAGTTCCATGAATATAGCTTAGTGTTGGTTGCTAAAGAAGGTTATAATCTGGTTAAAGACAATATCCTTAGCAGTAGTTCCTAGTATGAAATCAGCATGAGCAAAATCCTTGACATATTGAACATGTAACTTTCCCACGTCGTGGTTTTTGAGGTGATCCAGTAACGTCTCCACATCTTTTGTACTAGAAAGTGCATCTTGGCCTCCATAGCTCAGAAACAGGGGTAGGTCTCGAGGAATATTTGCTAAATTATACAGTGGAGGTTTAACACTACCATAATGTGCCAAATTGCTGATAAAGCTCCCATAGTCGTATTTCCTAAGGATTCCATCTCTGACAGCTGCATCATTCGTCATTGCAGTTAGTTAAGATAAGTAGCAACATTATTAGTGGTGTCATTAAGCTTTATGACTAGGGAATTTGAGCTTTACTCTGTAACATTAAAATCGCAAAAGATATAGACTGATTGAAATTCATTAATTACGAGATTAAACCTTCAAAACTTCACTTAAAACTCCAGCACATTATTTCTTAAGTAGTCCCAAAACTGACTATTCCATCAAAACTTTCAGTCTAAGTACACATTATTGAAGAGGACTTACTTTGAGCTAAATGCACAAAGTTCTTAGTCGATGTGGGTTGAGGCTCATTCTTCAAGAATAAATCGACCGTAGAGGCATTTAGACAACAATTCTTCCCTGTATATATCCGCGTGAAAAGTAATAAAGCTTTGAAGAATTATGATAACAAATACAAATGACTTGGTAAAAAATTATTGAATAAAATGTGTAATTAATTAGATTAGTACCGGTAAGTGCAGTGAGGAAGTCATAACAATTAATCCCACGCTGAGCACACAACGCCTTGACAAAAATAGACACAGGCGCACTGACGAACAAAAAGTGTCATCAGTATAGTTGAGAAGAACAAAAAAAGAAAAAGTCGGATTAGTCATAAGAGATTTACGTACCTTGTTGGATTAAATTCTGCAAGACCAAATATTGTAGTGATCTGTTGACATAATATTCGCCATCAAGATTAATAATAGATAATTAAAAAAAGATGATGTAACTTTGCACTTAATTAATTAATTACCTCGCCAAGAAAGGATCTAGCAGTAACAACACCAAGTGCAGTAGTCATATGGCTCAAATAAGCAATTGGGCTTAGCAAAGCTGCAGATTTTATCTTGTCTATTCGTCTTCCTTCTGAAAATGATGCCAAAGCTATCAAAGTTCCCTATATTAATTTCCATATAATAATAATTGATTAGTTATAAGATATAGTATATCAAAGAAGGTTACTAAATTAAATGACATTTCGATATATTTTATATATTTTAAAATTAGTAAGACAAGATTTAAAAGTTTTATTTTTATTTTCGTAAACTTAATGTCAAAGTAAAATAAGACAATTGAAAGTTACCAATGAATGGCCAACGTAGTGAGTTTTCTGTCCACTTTGTTTATAGACAAGGTTAACGAAAGTGGGTAAGTCCTGGACTACAAGATCATCCCAAGACCAATTCCAGTAGTCCTATACATGTACCACAATTTAGATATTCTATAGTACTTAGTAGTATTAATTTTAAATGTTAAGAGTAATGATTTGAAGGAAATACGGAATTATAAGAATGAAGATTGCGATGACGAAGGCTGTATCTTGTGCCTCTGGTGTTGGCAATCCAAACATCAAAGCCACTATCTGCTAAAATCATTGCAAGTGATTGTTCGGCTGAATTCATCACCCACGTTGCTCCGTCCTGCAACAACATTTCTCAAATACTAAACATACTTACTACATGTACTAAATCTCCTACCACAAATTTTGCCTCTTTTTTAAGCAAGACCTACGCTATAACCGCCACAAACAATTAAAAGTCTTTTTTTTTTCCTTTTTATATAGTTGATATTGAATTAAAATCAGACAAAATAATAAAATCGGCATACATTTTGACCGATTTAACAAGAAGATTTTCCTTTTATTTTAGGATAAGAACAAACGAAGAGAGCTCTTGTGATCTGCACATTCTGTCGTCTTCCTTTGTTAAGGATCATATTACTCATTTATTTGTGCCATACAAAATACAATTGTTTATGGAAATATATATAAGAAGGATATTATTAATTATTATTTATTTTACAATTTTTTATAGTATATTTTATTTATGTTAATAATCTTTTGAAATTACATCAGTTCTACTCATTTATACAGGTGACTGATACTGTTATACTTCAAAAAAAAGTTATTTGAGGATAAGATGAAAAAAATGAAATTCAAAACGTTCTATCTAACCCGATGGGGTGATTATTATATGGATATGATCCATCTAGTCTTTACTTTTTCTAAACTTTATTTTATACAATTTCACTGCAATATGTTTGTTGTTACTGTATTAAACAAAGTTAAGTGATTGTTGAGTTTTTAAAAAATCAATCGCTTCATCTCGGTGCTAAACTTGCCGCTTGTCCTCAGGTATTATTATATATACTGTAACGTAAATGATAGACGACATTGGACGTGCAGTTTCACACAGAAATACTGATACTCTTCTTTAAGCTATACTGAAAAAATTAGTATTATTGAAATATTCTTATTTTTCTGCGTGTGACACACTTTGAAAAACAACAAGGTGGAGTTATTATGTGTAAATTATAAATATCATGATGTATTGAAGTGTAGCTTTTTTTAATTCCTAAAAAGCATGCTTACCACCAGTATTCCATGTTGCAATAGAACTGGCTGCCTGTTGCGGCTACTACCACCTACTCGCCCTTGAGGAATTCTTTGCGCACTCAGTATGTATCCATCATCAGTACTCACCTGAAAAATCATAAATTGAAGAAATATTTGTTATACAAATTGTGCAATCTGGTGGACAAAGCCATTTGATATGGAGTACCTCATATTCGTGGCATTTATAACCATGAATAGTCACAAAGGTGGCGCACATGTCACTTGGTGCTGCAACATTATCCTCAGCAACAAATGCTGGATTATAACTCCCAAACACTGAAATTAGTAATATCGTCACAAAGCCTATAATCATGAATAGTCTGTGGAGCATCTTTAATTTATATTACGTTGGTGTTTGTAAATTGTAACTACTGTTTGTTATGCTTTCAAAATTATTTATAGAAGGAAATCGAGAGCAGTGGGAAATCGATTTGTGACTTTTTGCGCTCTCTTCTCTGGACTTACTAAATTGCGAACCGACTAATTCTGGACAATCTTGTTTCTGATTTCTAGAGTTTCGAAAAAAAAGAATGGAGAATTTGTCAGTTTTTGCCTTTCTAGTGCCACTTAATTCTGTTACCATTAATTTGTACTGAGAATTCAGATTTTTTGAAGTAACGGGTGGGTCTTGGAGCCCACTATATTTGGATGTTCTATACGTTGCCTTTTTTGATCAACGTAACTGATGACATCAACAGAAATGTAAAATATGATCTCTAGTATTGGGGAGATTTCTTGATGTTGAAGCGCAACGAATTACTATATGCACGTCTAAAGAATTTTTCTTACTTGGAAGCTAATTTTAGTCCACTTAATTAGCTGGGATTGGCACTTTGAACCGAGACACTCTTTTTACTACAAACTAAAGATACCTTAAATCCTAAAACATGTATGGTTGTTGCTTGCCTTTAACAGTCGCAAGTTGTAACGACAGGCCACGTTTTACGAAAAAGGGAAGGATATAAAACTCATTGATAGGCTGACGCAATTAAATAGCAAAGCTTGCTGAACTCTCTTACTACATGGAACAAAAATTATAGCAGCGAGAAAGAATTCTTAAGAAAAAAAAACAAGTTGGGAAAACATTGCAAAATGGCAGATTAATCCAAAAGTCTAAGCAAACATACACAAATATATATGGAATCCCCCTTTTATAAGAATAAATTAAAATTGGGGTACGGTAGAGGATTACACGGTCAAAAATTGAACTTTCACCAATGATTCAAATAATTAACCAACTGAACTACTAACATCTTCAATGCATCAAATCGGTTAGATAAAAAAATTGTATAGGTTGATGGACTATAAAATTGAACTTTTTCCCCTTTGAGATTTTGATGGGTATGAACTTTTTATAGGCCTCAAAATCTGAAGTCTTGGGAGTGTTCACTGTCCTCCGCCCTGGCCCGATCTAAGGTCACACTCCTAAAGGAAGTCGGATTTAAGAGAGAATACAACCTCTACTTTGGAATATTTTTTGCTCAGATAGCCTAATTATTGACACATTTAACCTATACCAGATTTTTTAAATAGTGGTGTTTGAAAAATTAAACTTCAGACAGTGTGTAAAGTTACAAAGCCTAAAGTTCGTCTAATTCTACCTAAAGTTCACTCAGAAATAGTTGGACTACAATGGCTAAATAAACTACATGGACAATGTTCAAGCAAAAACTGGCTGAACTTAGTCAATACTAATTTTGGATACTGTACATCTACAGTGATACGTGCAAAATTTTAGAAATGACTTCACAAGTTAGATAGCTGCTTCAAAATAAGGCCCCTTTCGACGTTCTATGCACTAGGCCCCCTCCTACTTTATTATTTGTTCAAAGAAAACATACGGAGATACAAGTCCACCCAAACGCAAGTAATTGCAAGGTTTTACGAAATAACATAGTAATTAGGTTCTTTTTGGTTCATTAAGAGTAGAGGAATAATAATCAGACAACTGAGGAAAGCAGAAGAAACATATACATTAACAGAATACGACCTTGTTAATTTATTAACAAAGCTGTTCTTTATAAGTTTAATTTATACACAGTAAGTGTGTGCCAATGCACACCTCATCTCACGGCCCTCAAGTTACTGAGGGTCAAAGTGCAAAGCTCAATAGATGCACAATTCCTTGTGCACTAGCATATACATACATAGAGAACTTATGAAAGCCGAGTTCTAGCTATTAGCCCACGGTATTTGCAGGACTCATACTCTTCCTCTTTTCCCTAAAACTGCCACTCAACCTGGGAAGACAACATTGTACTGACCTCAGCGATTTTGCCTCACTTTTGTACTTTCCTACAGGGGTGCTCTTGCCACTAGACACCGGCACATGAGGTGTGCTAAATGTGGATTTAGGTGGTAGCTGTAGACCAGCTGCCTGTATATTTTCGTTGTCTTCAGCACCATGCTCATTCGGGTTCCGGTTTCTTGAGCTTTCTTTGAAAAGCTCAAGTAAATTCTTCCTCTTGTGTATTGGAGAAGATTGCGGTATAGAAGCAGAAGTTCTTTCTCCAAAAGAGGCTCGATTACCTAGCAGATTACCGACCAACAAACCTCGATGCACAGGTGTATTTCCACACGAAGGAGTATTTCCAAGTGATGGTGTAAAATCTGCATTGAAGACAGATAGACTACAAGAATTAATGATAATGATTGCAAGTGTAAATTGAAGGTGGCTACTCACAACAAGAATAAAAAGTGTTCCTGACACTTAGATCCCTATTTTAGCAAAAACTACGCACTGGTGTGGCACTTTTCTTGAACAAAAAGGTCAGGTACTTCCAATACCTGATTTTCTAGATCTGGTCTTCTCAAATTGCCTTAGCAGTCATTACTAATGATTCAGTTGAATGCATAATAGCCATTTTCAATTTTATGACTATAATAACATGAGAAGAAAGATGAACGGAGAATATGGAAAGAGCATCAGGTATCAAAGTTCTGTCTCACCTCCCTTGACACTAAAGAAGTCATCATCACAATCTGACTCCAACCAGGCCTGGGAATCAAAAAAGGCCTCCTCCTTGCTACCTAAACAAAAGAATGCCTTAGGCTATTAGAAACGATAAAATGTATCATGAGAATACTAGTAACAATGACAAATGCACAATAACATGAACATAATTCAATTAAAAATATATTGAAAGCTTCACAATGTGGGCTCTGCTTCATGAAATCAGTTTGAGGATACAAGGGAAACGAAAGAAGAAACTGAAAGAAAGCATAGAGCATGTCGTTTTCACCATTATTCCACCACAATCCCAACACATCACATTCAAAACAAATTCACCCATATAAAAAAATAAACAAGAAACAGAACTAGTTAGACACTTCTGAGAAAACTAAACTAGTAGGCATTAGTTAAGTCTTTACAGTAAAAAACTGCACTACATTTTGTCAATGGCATAAAATACACAGAAGAAACTTATTTTGACTAGAGAGTGCTATTACCACATAAATATCATAGAAAACAAGATGATTCGTCGGATTGCTTTGAAAGAAGTCAATGAAGGATCCCCTGACTGTTGTAACAAAACCACATGACAAGAGGAAAATTACATGTAACACAATTGACAAGGATTATGAAACAAGAAAAGTCGCTGAATTAAACGTGCAAATCTCAACTAAGGTTACAGCTGCTTGCACAGATGATGAAATGAAACAAGGAAGCCATTTTCCCTGTAAAACGGTGTCTTTAGCCTGTATTTCACTGTTTACTTTTTACACTAAATGTACATGGATTACACTTATATTATACATCCATTTTTATATTGACAAATACATCTGGGTTGAATATAAAGAATATTGAAAATGACTCTTCTATTGAATTATTCACATTAAGCTACAGGGTGTCTCTTTCTTTCTTTCTTTCTTTTTTTTTGAAAGGTCGTAGTGCCACAACATGTGCTGCAAATGACCCCACCAATAAGAGAATTTTGGCATTGCACATGATTTTAACAGTAGCTCGTCAGTCAATCTTACCTAATGGCACAAAGGAATAGACAGCAAACAAAAAAATAATAAGAAGAACACACTTAAGTCATTAAAATTGTAATTTTCTAAGTTTCATAAGAAGACAATTTTGAACAGGAATTGTGTTAGTGATGGAGTTAAAGTTCATTCAACAAATAGTTATTATCCAACAAAGGAACTATTAGTTGGAAGACCATCAACCTGTTAATCATGCCTTTCAGATAAACAGAACATCTCTACAATTTTCTTAAACATTAGATAAAATTTCTGTAGAACAACCAATTTCCTTAGCAAATAGAAGAAACTAGTAATCCAACATCAGACTAACTCAAAATTTGAAACTGAAAAAAAAGTGTTTCACATGAAAAGCATCAATTTTCCTCCTCTTTTTTTTTCTCATCACGAGAAACCCCACACAAAAGCGTCGAACATAAAGTGAAATCAACGTCAAATAAACATAAAAACAAACTGAATAATCGGACAGGAATTGAAAAGAAGAAGATGGTACCATAGTCGCTAAAACTGTTAAGCGGGAGCACCGGGGAACGCTGAGGTTTGATTTGAGGAAGAGAGAGTTTGATTTCAGCAGTATCAAGGGGTTTATCTTTGATAGGTGAGGGACTCACAAGCTTGTCAGATTTAGATGCAAAGACAAAACGGAGCTTCATTGCTGATTTCGGATCTTTATGCACTGAAGCAGATGAACCCATTGCTAACAGAAAACACTTGATTTGTACCACCGAGATGCCTCTAAGAACCTAGATGAAAGTCGTAGGAGAAAATGCAGTAAAAGGGAGCGCTACGCTTCGGCAAAGAAGGGACAAATTGTTGAAATGCCCGATAGCAGAACAGAACAGAGTGGAGAGCAAAATATCATAGGAAAATTGTGGGGCTTTCAATACCAAAATTATCGTAATTTGTAATGGAGAAAATGGGTGGGTCCTATCTTAAAAGGTTAGTATTATTGCAAATAAGTAATTTACTTGAGATTTGGCTTTTCTTACAACTTTCTACAAGTATTATTTTTCTTTTTAGTTTATCTTTTTTAATTCATAATATATTAAAGTAATAAAAAAAATTATAATAAATTAAAATTAAATAAATAAATTTAAACGATAAAAACATTTGAAATAAGATTTGACTTTTTGTATGCTAAAATATAGAGTATTTACATTTTTAATTCCATAGGGTTGTGGTAGGTTAAGAAAAACAAAAAGAGGATCATTTTGATTTTTTTATTTATGAATAAAAAATATTTGAATTATTATTAAACCAACTACTCATTATCATTAAATAATAAAAATAGATGAATCCAAAAAGAATAATGTAAAAAGATAGTGGGGAAATTTTGGAATTCCACTTTTTGTGTCTCGATATTAGTTGCAAGTATGCACTCCATTTAAAATTGAATTTTAGAAATATTCTATTTTTAAAATTAATTTAATTATTTAATATTTTTAAAAAGAATTTAAATATATATTTATGTTTTGTTAATTATTATTAAAATTAGTTATTATAATTAATATTTAGTTATTTTATTATAAAAGTAATAATAATTAATAATGATAAACATTAAAAAGTATGCCTAATTAATATATTAATGTTTTTTTCTTAAAGAATGG